GCAAACTGGTGCAGCAACTCTGGAAAACAGTATGGAGGTTCCCCCAGGAAATTAAAAAACAGAAAACACCAAAAACTACCCTATAACCCAGCAATTGCACTACTAGGTATTTATCTAAAGGATATAAAAATGCTGATTCGAAGACATACATGCACCTCAATGTTTGTAGCAGTGCTATCGACAATAGCCAAAGTATAGAAAGAGCCCAAATGTCCACTGATGGATGAATGGATAAAGAAGATGTGGTACACACACACACACACACACACACACACACACACAATGGAGTATTACTCGACAATCAAAAAGAATGAAATCTTGCCATTTACAACTCTATGGATGGAACTGGAGGGTATTATGCTAAACAAAATTATAACACATGACTTCACTCATATGAGGACTTTAAGATACAAAATAGATGAGCATAAGGGAAGGGAAGCAAAAATAATATAGAAACAGGGAGGGGGACAAAACATAAGAGACTCTTAAATACAGAGAACAAACAGAGGGTTACTGGAGGGGTGTGGGAGGGGGGATGGGCTAAATGGGTGAGGGGCATTAAGGAATCTATTCCTGAAATCATTATTGCACCATATGCTCATTAACTTGGATGTAAATTAAACAATAAATAAGTTAATTAAGAAAAAACTCTGTGTGTACACCTATATATGTATATATCTATTTAAAAGTTCTTTAATCAAAGGGAAAGTATAGTCTTCTGTTTTAAACTTGTTTAGTTATAGTAATGGTGGTAGGAGGGGGCACCACAGTGAAAATATAACATGTCCTCTATTTTGCTATTCTTAAACACATCTCCTTATTTTTACAATGTAGTTATGAAAAGCGTAGTGTTAAATCTGCAACATATGGCACATATTAGGGATAATACATGTTTGATGGTTCAAACGGTACATTTTATTCTTCTATTGTGATTTCTATTTTATTATTTATTGTCTGCAGTTAGCAAAACTGCGATTATCTTATCTCCAGGCAATTGTTCTTTGCTTTAAGGAGATGAGGATGCCTGTTGCCAAGTCCATACATCTTTGGAATAGCTATTTTATATTCGTTCAATCTTAACATCTAGATCACAGTATGTATAATGTAGTGTAATGTCATTAGAAGCTCTAGAAATAAATGGTTTCTAAGAATATGAAAATATAAAACAAATAGAACAGGCAAGAGACCATACTAGTGGTAAATTTCAATGACATATTACTTTTATCAGACCTTTCCCCACATTTCGTGTTATAAAAAGATGTGTCATAAAAAGAATTTCTTGAATTCTTATTTTCCACTGCTGTAGGCATAGCAAACAATATGTTTAATCATTGTTAATGTTTCCTTTTAGATTCCATTACTTTCAGCCTAATTCATCATCTCATCGTGCCCATTGCTGCTTTCTGTTTTCTTCGGTTTGCAGATGTAGAGAGTGGGAATTCTGCCGTGTACTCTGCTAAATATTAATAGCAAAAGAAATTCTTCTGAGCAGATTCACCTTAGGTTATATCTAGCAGTATTCATTATGAAAAACTATCTTGTTAAAATGATAGTAACAACAAATTATTCTCTGATTGTGTTATGTTGTGACTGATTAAAACCAAGAACGTAACTCTGACCTCAGCATCATGTAATGTTCTCCTGCTGTTTCCCTGGACTTATGACCATTTCTTTGGTGAGTACTGAGAATACAGTAATATTTTTTTCTTGTGGATATAGATATTCCATGATACATTGACTTCACAATTTCAGAGATAACTAAAATAAAATATATAATCAAAGTCAAATGAAATATAACTATATAGCCAAGCTATAATTCTTATCAAAAGGATACTCATTCTCGGGGCACCTGGCTGGCTCAGTTGTAGAGCATGCAATTGTTCTTAGGTTTTGAGTTCGAGCCCAGCATTGGGTATAGGGATTACTTATTAATTAAAAAAAAACTTTAAAAAAAAACTTAAAAGAAGAAGGATGTCCATTCTCAGTAACCAAGATAGTTTTTCAGAGGTATAATAAAGTACGTTTGTGTGTGTGTGTGTGTGTGTGTGTGTGTGTGTGTGTGTGTAAGGATTCAGACTGCTTCAAATTCAGTTCTGGTTCTGTTGCTGGTTAGTTGTGTGGCTGTGGGCAAATCATTTCACTGTCTTAGCCTCCTTTTTATCATCTGCGATGTGAGGAACTTGGCCTTCCTAATCACTAATGCTGTTTCCAATGCCGCATTTTCTTTGGTTGCCTATGTCAATTTCCATAGGTGCACTTGAACAGAAAAACAAAGAAGACACAGCTTTGACATACAATAGGTTCCCAAAATATATGTTGAACAAAATAGAAATAAATGCTGAAAATGGAGTGACCAGCCCAAGTTCTCTGCTCAGAACTGATTTGCCATTGGAGGCTTCCGGGTAGAGAGAGTGGTGTTGACGAACTGGTGACTGAGTGCTCACGACCGGGCCTTATTTACCTTCTGCTTACGCTTTGGTGGGCTTCAGGCAGTCCTTCCCAGAGGCCCCTGAAATTTGACTCCCTAGAAGCTTAAGGAGGCAGCAAGGTATATCATAGTCCCTCTTCACGGTTCTTTCTGAGAATTGAGAATTGGTTGACCACAGATTTCCTGGTTTTTCCAGCCTGTTCTCTCGTACCACTTGCCCTTGCCCTTTCGGCTCTGGCTGCTCCTCCTTAGATGAGAAAAACCTTTCTCTGGTTCTGACTTCCTTGCAGATCCTGGGGTTGGGGTACTATCCCTGCAGTAATAGTCTCTTTCAATAACGTCTCCCCTTCCTTAGATCCAGGTTTGTTTCTGTCGGACTCTGGACAGGTGCCCTCATCTCCGTGGTTAGATTCATTAAATTCATACAATTAATGAATTCATTGATTCGTACAATTAAGCATAAAAGTGAAGCTATGCAGGGTCTCTTCCCGTATTTGAATCTCTCTCTTCTGGCCTCCATCCTCTGACCTCATGGGATCCCTGGTTTGAATGTTTGATCTCCCTCCGGGTCAAACATAGACTGGGGTCTACACTCTACTTTCTCTTCAGTATCTATGAAACATGGACACTTCTGACACCTTCTTCTCACATGATCCTTGAACTTATATTTCAGGATCTGTTTTTTCATTCTTTCCCCGTCATCTGGTTCTTGGAATTTGAATATATGTATCTAAGGACCTTGTTTTAAACTTTCCTTTTTTAACTACTACAGTTTTATTTTTGTTTTTTGGGTTTTTTTAAGTTACTCTCGTGGCTTAAGGACGCTTGCAATGACATATTTCCCATCCCTACGCAGTGCATTTATTTCTATTTTCCCATGTTCCGGATTTTTTAACTGAACAAAAGTAGGAAAGAGCTGCCTCTCTTTGTGGCCTCCAGGGGCTTGTAGGACAGTGAGAAGCCTCAGTGAGAGACGTCGACCTTGTGAGTGGGATTGGTTGAGAACTTTGAATGAAGAACTCCAGCAGCCCCTTGGTGTTTCCAGAAATTTCTGTAACCAAGCAGTGTGATTGGTGGCAGCTAATGAGAGGCTCTTAGTAGGCCACACCCCAGTATAAAACATAGTCACTGTCCCTCAGTGAGCTTGTCCTGGCCCTCATTTCATCTGGGCTCGTGGTCTTTACTTAACCGTTCACAGGCACTGACCACTATCCAGTCAGTTCACTGACCCACAGGCTTCTGAGCACTAGAATAAACCTTTTCTTACTTAATTCTTTTTTTAAAAAATGTTTATTTATTTATTTTGAGAGAGAGAGAGAGGGAGTGCGTGCAAGCGGGGGAGGGGGACCAGAGGTAGATGGAGAGAGAGCACAGAGCCTAAGTTGAGGCTAGAACTCATGAACCATGAGATCATGACTTAAGCCACTCAGGCTCCCCTCTTAATTCTGTTAGACTTAACAATTATTATTATTATTATTTATTTATTTATTTTTAATGGGAGGGAGAGATACTGCAGGGAAAGTGTGAAAGCGTCTGTGAGGGAAAAGTGACAGAAAATAATCCTGGAGAGAATGCCAGCAAAACTAAGGCAAACCAAAGCTAGTAAAGGAACATAATGCAAGGCCTGAGAAAACACAGAATAAAATACAGGGACGAAGTATAACCTGTGCTCATGGAGAAAGCAAGAGGGAGTGAAAAGGAGAGCCTGAGAATATAGAAACTTACAAACAGGAGAAAGGGGCCAAGAGACGATGTGAAACTGAGAGAACAAGAGAAAGTTTCGTGTGGGAGAGACGAGCCACTGAAATGAAATCCGAGAAGGAAAAAAATGTTAAAGAGCAAGAGAAAGGTAGGGGCGCCGGGGTGGCTCCGTCAGTTAAGCGACTGGCTTTGGATCAGGTCATGGTCTGGTGGTTCATGGGTTCTGGGCTCCACGCCAGCAGAGGGGAGCCTACTTCGGATTCTCTCTGTCTCTCTCTCTCTCTCCCTCTCTCTCTCCCCCTTACCCCCTTGCTTTCACTCTCTCTCTTTCAAAAATAAATACATAAGGGGCGCCTGGGTGGCTCAGTGGGTTAAGCGTCCTACTTCGGCTCAGGTCATGATCTCACGGTTCGTGGGTTCGAGCCCCGCGTCGGGCTCTGTGCCGACAGCTCAGAGCGTGGAGCCTGCTTCGGATTCTGTGTCTCCCTCTCTCTCTGCCCCTCCCCTGCTATCAGTGTCTCTCTCAAAAATAAATAAAACATCAAAATAAATAAATACATAAACTTCGAAAAAAAAAAGAGAAATGTAGAAAATTGGCTGAAAATGTGAGTTTAAACAGAACAATGTAAAATAAAGCCCGAGGACATTTACGGGGACAAAAGGGAGGAAATGAGAAGGCGCCAAGAAACCGAGAGGCCTTGGTCATATAGGGGCCTGTAAGTGAGCGAGGTAAGAAAAGACTTGGGAGCCAGAGTGAGAAGCCGGAAGGGCAGAGAAATGGAACGGAAGAGCCTGAGGAGCCCGGGGACAAGCCCGGCTGAGCGAACAGAGAGGGAGCACCCGCGCGAGCATGGGGACGGGAGGACCGCGGCCCCCGCGCAGGCGCAGACGCCGGCAGTGGCGGAACTCGCGGGTCCCGAGGCGAGGGAGGCTGGGGTTCGCAGTCAGGATTGCGGACACGAGCGGGACTCCGGGGCCCGACGTCAAGCCTCACGGAGTCAGGTCAGAGAGGTCGCGGGGCACGATGCCCAGCAGGCTCCAGAACGTTCTGAGTGGCGTGGGCAAAGCCGGGCGGGGCTGGGGGAAATTTGCCACTTCCCTGGAGCCTGGTGGCGTTAGCTTTGGGCGCGCACGGGGTGGGGGATTGGCGGGGGGGGGGGGGTCGTGCAGACACTTCTTGACTCTGAAGTTTGAATTTATTATACTTGGAGAGCCCCGCGATTTGAGCTTTCAGAGCCCAGTGCCATTTGTTTACCGTTACCTTGAGGTTGAATTTGGTCCCTATATTGTAGCCAATGTGCCCGACAAGCGGTTTGTGCTTTGTAAACGCGTTTGGGCTTGTCATTTGCTGGACTGCCTTGCGAAGCACTGTTGTGACATAGGGTTATTGTTTCGACACTAGGGTCCCCTGGCACTAGGGGAGGTCCCTTCCCTTCAGCGCATAAGGGCTCCAGAAACTCAAAATTCCTGGCCAGTTGCCTTCCCTGTGTTTTGTACTGTTTTGCTGTTTGGTCAGGTCTTTATTTGTCATTGCTTTAAAGGAACGTAGTTTTTGTCGGTTTTATAGATTTTCAGCACGTTTATTGTTGAAAATCACTGCTAATCTCACTATCAAAGTAATGGCTCAGTGGTCATTTATTTAAATTCTATTTTAATGGCAAACAATACTGCTTTTTAAAAAAAAGTTTATTTGAGGGGCGGGGGGGGGGGCAGGAGGGGCAGATAGAGACAGAAAGAGAGAATCCCAAACAGGCTCCACACTGGCATTGCAGAGCCAGATGCAGGGCTTGAACTCACAAACCACAAGATCATGACCTGAGCTGAAATCAAGAGTCTGCAGCTTAACCAACTGAGCCACCCAGGCTCCCTCTGAACAGTACTGCTTTTTAGGGAAGGGGACAGAGCTGGTTTGTCTTCATTGTGCTAAATCCAAAGGTGACTTTGGATCTTGAGCTAAGGATAAATGCGTTCTAGGAAATGTCTGTAGTCTAGTGATTTTTGAGGTATGAAACAGTTTACCAAAATTTCATAGAAGCCACTTTTCAAAGAATATTCCATATTCTTTGTTTAGAAGTTTTATGTGATGAATGAATGAAAGTGAATTCGAAGGTTCTAGGAATGAGGCATGCCCTTGAACAAGGGAACAAAAGAGAATTTTTTTCTCAAGCAAATGTGTACTCATGCTTACCATCTAAGCTAGGAATTTACAGATGGATGATTCAGTAAAAAAATCTGATTGCAGATTTTCTTCCGTGAAAATTGCTGTTTCTTCATAGGGGGAGAAAAAAGTAGCTTGATGGCGGAATATATAGATTTTCCTTGCAAAGAATAGAAAATGCAATGTGTCATAGCGACATCTATCAGGAACTCCTAGCCAGTGGGCTGCTAGCTGGCATGGCTGAGAAACTCAGATCTGAGAGTTTTCTTAGCAAGTTAAATTCATTTTTTTTTCCACCAAGTGTTTTCATCTCCAATACAACTCATTCTTTTTTTTTTTTTTTCCCCTACTAAGCATTAAAAAAAGTCATTGTCAGTATATGGTGTATTTTAAAAACGAGTCACTTGCCTCACGCCCCATCTTGGTTTCTAAAGTCTGCTCTTATAAATTTTCTGTCAAAAGATTTCAACATGTTTCACTTGGCAATCTTTCAAGATCTTTGACTGCTGTAGGAAGTATATGTACAGTTCAAGAAAATGCCTATCCTCTGAATATCTTAGGGATAACCATTTTAACATAATAATTCCCAAATAGATAATATGTTTCTAAATTATTCAATAAGTTATTTTTATTTCTATTTTAAAAAAATATTTATTTCTGAGAGAGAGACAGAGACAGAGTATGAACAAGGGAGGGGCAGAGAAAGAGGGAGACACAGAATCTGACCCAGGGCTTTAACTCCTGAACCAGGAGATCATGACCTGAGCTGAAGTCACACACTTAACCCATTGAGCCACCCAGGCTCCCCTCTACCTTTTATCTCATTGTAATTTAACTTCTAGGTCTATTATTTGTTTGTCTGTTGATTCCTGTTCATTTCATTTTTACTCCTGAGACTTGTGGCTTATCAGAGAACGTTTGAATTAATATTTCTGTAAATTAATAGCAGGGGTTTTACATACTATAAAATGCAGAGCGCAAAAATTATCCTTCAAATTGGACAATCCAAAGATTATTTAAAAGACGTTTGCCTTGTAAATGCAGCGAAAGAATGTGGCAATTAGAATTGAACTATATAAATGTGGACTCCGATTGTGAATCCTAGAAAGGTGACAGTGTAATGAGATTTGACAGCGTGTAGAAAGGTGAAAACTCATTAGCAAGCTAGGATCTGCATGAAAAAAACATTGATTAGCATTTTTGTATTATGTAAGAAGATTGCTTAGCATTTTGGGAGGAGGGCAGCAGTGGTGTGGCATTTAAATCTACTCTGAATTAAAAATGATCAGTTTAAAAAAATTATAGAAAATTCTTATGCAAATGAAATGTAATCAAGCCATGCTTCAGACTCATTATGCATGATGGATATGCACTGTAACTTGCTTACTAATTCAAGGAGCAGAAGAATTCCAGTTAACATATTGTTTATGCAGTGCTGGGCCAAACTGCTGGAAGTGATATTAAATTGATTACGATAAATGGTGTAAACCAACAAGATGGGTTTTTATCCAACTTGACACTTATTTTATATGAAATGATGACAGTTTCTTACTATCCTGAAAACGTCAGCTTCGTCACTAATGTTGAAATGTTTCTGAAGTTCTTAAAGACATCAATAATCTAGAGGATGAGAGAGAATATAGAGCAGAGAGAACACCACTTTGTTTTTATTTTTAATGTTTTATTAATTTCTGAGAGAGACAGCATAAGCAGGGGAGGGTCAGAGAGAGAGGGAGACGCAGAAACAGAAACAGGCTCCAGGCTCTGAGCTGTCAGCACAGAGCCCTACGCGGGGCTTGAATGCATGAACTGCAAGATCATGACCTGAGCTGAAGTTGGACACTTAACCGACTGAGCCCCCCCAGGCGCCCCGAGAGAACACCACTTTGTAATGCCTTCAGTAGAAGACATTTGCTTGTTGACCTGAAAGTTTGTTTGTATATTCATGATGTGTAATTAGAGATTTCCTTGAAGTGTTTCTTTGGTGAGTTCATGTCTAGATGCGAGACTACTTGGTAATGAAATTGCAATTTGGGCTAACCTTGGGAAGCTATGGAGTTCACATGCCCACCATTGTCACAGCTTCTGGGATTCTGACAATTCTTAACTGCATCACAACCTGCAAATCCATACCGGTCTGTTTTGGCAATCCTTAGCATAATTTTAGGAATTTGACAGTACTGATTGGTTCAGAATAAGAGCTACAGTTTATATCACAAAAGTGTTTACATTTTAAGTTTTAAGAAGACAGATTAAAAAATCCTTTTCATATTTATTTATTTTGAGAAAGAGAGAGAACAAAGAGAGAGAGAGAATCCCAAGCAGGCTCCGCACTGACAGCGCAGAGCCTGATGCAGGGCTCGAACTCATGAACTGTGAGTTCATGACCTGAGCCCAAGTCGGACGCTTAACTGACTGAGCCACCCAGGTGCCCCAATAAGACAGACTTTAAATGCTGTTTTTTCTACTGTTTGCAAATTGAGTTAACCTTGGAAATCTATGGTGTAAACATGCTCAAATTTCTCACAGTCCAGAGTTTAAAAATTAACTTTTAATGGGGCGCCCGGGTGACTCCGTCACATAAGTATCCCACTTTGGCTCAGGTCATGATCTCATGGTTTGTGAACTGGAGCCCCAAGTCTGGCTCTGTGCTGACAGCTCAGAGCCTGGAGCCTACTTCACATTTTGTGTCTCCCTCTCTCTCTGCCCCTTTCCTCCTCAAACTCTGCCTCTCTCTCTCTCTCAAAAATAAGTAAACATTAAAAAATATTAGGCTTTTTTTCAGTTAAAAAAACCACTGGTTGGTTCAGGACAAAAGCCTATGGTGGCATAGCAAAAGTGTCTCTTATTTTGTAAGTTTTTGTGACAAAATTTAAGATATCTTTTTCATACTAATACCTTGTGATTTCTGATTATAAAAGCTTTTGCTCTTGGTAGTATTTTTATTGGTGTTTTCAATGATATTTAATTTTTAAGATTTTAATAATAATGTATTTTCATGGTAGAAAATTTGGAAAACAAACTTATGAAGCAAGTAAAATCATCAAGATCATACTGAAAGTGAGAAGAATGTGTCAGTCCAAAATATGCCTCTTTAGCATAAGGATTCTTTTGAGCTGAGTACTTTTTAAGAAACAGCAAAGGAAAAGTTCTGAAAATGAGTAGCAAAAGTTGCACTTTTGTAAGAGACATTTACATTTATAAGGGAAGCCTCGGTTTCTGAGGGTGTCTCCCTCTCTGTACCAGAAAGAGGAAAATGACCCATAATCTCTAGAAACTCATTATCAAGGAGGAAGGCAAGGACTTACATCTGCATCACAACCTTGCCCTTGTTTACTGGGCTCTGCCTGATCCCTTCCCTTGGCCGGCTCTCTCCCCTCACTCTTTTGTCTTCGGCTGGAAATGATATTTGGGTTGGTATCTTGGGCCATTTCTTGGAGTTACTCAGTTTTTCTGGGTGTCTACCATGTATACAGGAGGTGTACATGTTACTAATCTTTTGTTTTTCTCCTGTTAATCTGTCTTTTATTACAGAGGGTCTCAGCCAAGAACCTCCAAGAGTGGAGGGGTAATTATTTTTCCTCCCCTGCAGTATGTAATACTATAGCTTAGAGGTGACTGTGGTTAGCATTTGTTGTATTTCCTTCCAGTCTTTCTACTCTGAGGGTTCTCCAGTATATATGAAAACCCAACATAAACATTTAAGTGTTTAAATATTAGGAAACATAACCGAGACCTCAGTGTTGAAACAGAGGACATCTTATTTTTGATTTTAAATCTTTTGTAATACTCATAGTAAAGCTTTTGCTTCTGTATTTTGTTGTTTGTTAGTGAGTTCATCAAG